ATAATCTTTAGTTTAATAAATAAGCCCATTAGATTTGTAGGCTATCCTTGTTTCCATTCATTATAATTTTAAACTAGATTTTGACCCGCGCTTCAAAAGCGCGGGCTTCTTTTTGGATTATAAACAAAATTTGGTATAATTTATTATTTTGACATTGTACATTATTAAGTATGTAATTTATTAAAACAGAATATTTTTTTTTTTAAAAGTATATAATTTATGAAATGGTTTATATGATATTTTGTATGCGAATTCTTAACTATTTCTCTTAGGTCTAGGCATTTTATCCAGATCTAAAAAACTCAACCAAAACCGACCCAAAAATATAGGTTTGATTCAAGTCCCAGTCAAGGAAAAAAGTACCTACTCGATATTTTTTGGACCCGTGGATCTTGGTTTGGATTCGGATCCTACACGAGACCCGTTTGGATACTCAAAGCAATCGATTTTTTGTGTATATAATTAGATATATTTGGATATTTCAAATATGTGTTTGGTATTACATATACTCTAAGATTCAAGATCTGGTTTTCAGTTATAATTTTATTTTCATGTAAATTTCAAAGTGCAAAATTTTATTTTAGATATTCGAATAAAGCTTACGTATTTTTCAGTTAATCGGGCAAAATTTTGGGAATTTTTATGGTTAGAGTAATTAGTTGTAAAATAAAATAAAAATTTATATATGAATTCAAAAACCTTCTTACGTTAGATTTCCAGAATGAGATAATAGTATAGATTCCTCTATTTAGTTGAATTTTTTGTTCCAAATTTTAGGAATATTTGAATTTTAATTATCGTATCATATGTGTTGAACCAATGTTTCAGGCTTTTTCTCATTCTCAAAGTTTCAGGTTTTTCATTATATCTCAATCTTCTTACTCGACGTGAAATACATACAAAGATAGTAGAGGATATTGAAATCATTGACACAAAATATGCCCATCATCTAAATATATAGACATTTCCAGAATTAATTTATGTGTAAATAAAAGCCGTGTGTTTAAAATAAAATCGAGATTGTAACAATTTAGCAAATTCAATTAGAAATCATAATGAAGAAAAAGGTAGCCGAAGGAATAATTTGAATAATACAAAAGCAATGAAATAGTTTGTGTTCATGCGTTATTCTTGGGCCTGAGCAATTGGTAAGGTCCAAGTTATTATTGTATAGGTAACAACATTAAACTACATTTAAGGTAGGAGAATATTTATGCTATATAACGTAATTATTGTTTCTATAAAATAGGTAGGACTAAAAATGAAAGGGTCCAAACAAATTTTTTAAGTAGATTTATTTAGATTCCTTCTCTTTTAATAGTATAGATACCTTTCATGTTTCCAAACACTAATTTTTTGTACTTCAGCTTTAATAGTATAGATATTTTAGTTAGTTTGGTAAGTTATTGTGGGGGTCGAGATCTAGTTGTTAGTAATGCTAAAGATGAAGTTTGAAACATTGTTTGTTATACATAAGTTACCAAACTATTTTATAAAAGTCTTGTTTAACGCTTTTATCTACATTGATTGAAAATGTTATGTAATTTTATATAAACGTGCAGGTATTTTAATACAAAAATATTTGAATTTATAGAATTTTCTCTCCGTTTTAAATTAGATGATGTTTTAAAAGATTTATTTTGTTTCAAAATATATGAGTTTTGAGATTTTAAGTTATATTTTGAGGTTTTAAGGTTATCTTTAATTTTATTGGAAATTCTTCAACCAATAAAATTTACGGTTTCTTAATAATTGGTTGAGTGATTTTAAAATTATATATTTAAAAATACTTTTGTAAAAGAATGTAAATTTCTTAATATTTGTGCAATGATCCAAAACATCACATATTAAGTAACAGATGGAGTAAAATTTATCGATAAATAAATATAATTTAATTATGTATACTATCCAATTTTATAATAATATTTCTGTGGCTTATAATATTATTATTATTATAAATTTTATTTTTGTAAAAACATTGACAAACATTATTATGTAACATTACTAATTTGTATATTTTGTTTTATTTCTAAATTTGAAATATATGTAAAAAATAAATTAATTTGGACCTACATAATACATAAAAGAAATTGCGATATTGTTAGTATTTTACATAACTGTAATTTTTTGTTTATAAATAAAAATGAAATTAAAATTTTAATTATATTTTATGATAATTAAAATTTTAATCAAATAATTTTTGAAACTATATATTGAAAAGATTCTAAAATATTTAAAAAAAAAATATTTTATTGGAATTTTCTTAAGACTATTTATTTGTATTTCAAATAAAAATTAAAGATATGAAAAGATATTATAATGATGTTATGTAAAAATTTATAAAAAAATTAAGGATGAACCAAAATAAAAAATCACAAATGAAATGAGTCATGACTTCTATTTTAATATAATAGATTTGATATATTTTAATTTAAATATGTCTATGTATTTTATTTAATTTTATTTATGATTTTATAGTTCAATTATGAGATCAGGGGGCATTATCCTCTCGTCCCAAATTTCTGTT